ATGGTCCCAACAGTTAGCATTGAGTTCTCCTTAAACTACTTGTGGGGAGGGCTGCTCTTAGAATATCAGGTTTATTATAGATGGTGAAAGGTCTTGCTTAGAGCTGCCAGGCGCAGCACGTGGCAAGGTGCCTCAGCTGACACAAGGGTTCTGTGACCTGGACAAAGGAGAGCCTACTGAATTTAGTTTAATTGTTGAGGTAAAAGAATCCCACTGAAAAAGAATGAGGCAAGTCAGACAGTCACGGTCATCCTTTTCTGCTCCAGTATGTTGAGGAATGATACCTTGCCACCCACCAGACCCCTTGACAGAACCAATAACTGGAAGAGCATCTGTGGCACAAGCCAGCATCCCTGCTCCACCCAAAGAAGCCTGACTATTTCTGGGAAAGGTAAAATAGAGAAACTTGGACTCAACCAAAAAACAGAGCAGTTAAATACTAATTAACAAATCAAGCCATGCACATTCAAAATTACATGGTAATGCTAGAGTGAGTTGCAACTCATGGTTATACTGCTCTCACATAAGCACTTCTCAGCCTCCTCTGCAACACTGCAAAACGCTGTGGGTCAGTGCTGGGAGGATAGGATAGCAAGCAGAGAGCAGCAGAGCTGTGAAAACAAGATGGATCTGGATGGGGGAATGTCCAAAACCAAACAAACTCTGCTTGTGCTGGCCTGAATGAGAGCTGAATTAAGGAAGGACTGCTTCCAAGAATGCCATGTCCTTGCCACCAAGGACTGTGAAAGGGCAGGGGAAGGCGGGGAGAGATTGAGAAGCACAAACACAAGCGTGAGAGAAGACAGAAAAGCACGACCAAGGCCTGGAGGGGACCCTAGGCTAAGGTCAAGCTCCCCATACACAGCTGGCTTGCAAACATGGAAAAAGCCTGATGCAATCCATCACAATGAAGACAGCAGCTGCCTCGCTGCTATCCAGCCTATCTCCCCATGAATGTTGCTGGACTACTGTCTGAAGGGCTGCATCTGTTGCCATTTCATTCTCCCTCAGTGTTCCTTACCTCTTTGTTCACTCTTTGCCAGAAGGAAGCAAAGCAGACACAGCAGCTATAAAACAACAGTTGGGTTACATGCCTTAGCAGTTGCCTACCTGCAAGGAGATGTGCTAGTGTCCAACGTGTAGGGACATAGGAGGAAACAGCTGCAGACACATCCAACCTGCACTGCACAGGCAGGTGGGGAATGAGAAGAGCTCCTAACATATTTCTATATCCTGAAACCATCTACAGCTTAGAAGTTGCATCTACTGCCTGGATGAAATAAGAGAAATCCTCCTCTGGGTATGAGTACTATGCAGAATATTTCAACAGCCTGCAAGAAGAAAGCAGGAGGAGCTTCACTGCCACAGGCACATGGGCAGCACTCACTATCCACAGGGAAAACTTGAGCTCTCTCTCCAAACATGTCTTGGTCAAACAACTCAACACAGACCAGATGTGAAGTTCTTCTGCTTCTGCAGAGGCCCAGTTTAAGCTAGATTTGAAAGCTCTGCTTTTCAGAGTGTGGATGCTAGTTTAGAAAATCCAGCTTTTAGGGGATGGTTTTTGTCTGGCTATCAAACACACGGGGAGCCTGCATCCACTGTCACTTTTTTAATTCCTCCAATCCAAAATCTCTGGAGCAGATGAAAACAATGAAAAATACAATTTCCCTGGTTGCAGAGCAGACTCCTGTATCTCAAGAGGTGCCTCCCTGGCATGGCTAATATTAGCCAGGTGAAGTCAGGCCAAGGAGACATAGAGCAGAGGAGTGGAGAGAACAGAAGGGATCAAAACCACTGGAAGAAAGCTGGATGCTCAGAAAGCAGTTATGGGTAGATGCATGACCCAAGGGTGGAATCTGGTGAAAGTTTTTTTTCTCAGGCCTCAAGAGCTGGAGGGGGAGTGACGAGAGAAAACACCATCATACTGGCAAGAGCAACCACTAAATGTTAGGAGATGTAGTTAAGTCACTTGCTTAGTTCCAGACAAGAACAACCCCAGGGATGAGGGCAGGGCTCAGGACAGAGGCATTCTGTGTGGTGCCCTGTGGAAGGAAGCAGGAGTGAGGAGGAGTTCATATGGCTCAAGGAGCTGAATGCTCCCAAGGAGAGCTGGGCTGTGTGGAGACTGACATGGCCACTCAAACCAAGGCTTTCCAGCAAGGAAAGCCCTGTGGAGCAGCAGGAGCAGCACCCAGAGCCAGGACACATGAGCATGCCACAGAATGCTATGCACAAGGAGAAAGAGCAGGCCTGTGCCAGCTCTAATTGGCCCCTAAAAAGACAAATTATTATTTTTTATTTAATCTCTCTGTGCTTTGTTTCCCCATCTTTAAAGCATCCATTCATCTCACAGAGGTTTGGGGAAGATTAATTAACTGCTCATCAACTGCCCAGGTACAATAGCGATGAGATTGGTAGAAGCTCAAGAGGAAATTAATAATTCTGCCATTGGAACATGGCTTGAATAGAACCTGGTAAATAAGGCAGAAGGGCACAGAGTGAACAATAAGAGAAAACAAAATCCTGAATATCTACTCACTAAGTGAGTCCATTCTGTGTGCAGAGGTAGGCAGGGAAGCCATGGAGAACCTGGCAAGAGACCTAAAAATTAAAGCTTGGATAATAATGCATGCTCACCAGGGAGGCAAATTAAGGGTGCACAGGGAACCCTCACACTGCTATTTTCTAACTTTTCAATGTTTGACTTTCAAGCTTCACAATGCTCTTTCAATGCCTTTTTTAGGTGTGCAGTGTCACACAGAGGCATGGGCACGCTTCCCTTCTCCTGATCCAGAAGTAGAATGCTTATTCTGATTTATCCTGAAACATATGCACATACAGCCAGTAAAGGCTTGGAAGAATAAACAATTATGGCTGGTGCTCAAGCAAATGCATACCATTTTTTGTAGCTGTGCATTTGTTTCTTTTTCTAAACATAGTGCACATAACCAAAACCAGTATTTTCTTAGTTTTCTTAGGCCAAAGAAGAATATATCCAACAGAGCACATACAAACTACAACTTAATTTAAATATAAAACATATCCTGGAGAAGGCTGGACAGTATTTTACAATTCAACTGTTTACCAGTAAGAAACAAAAAAAACCCCAAAAAAAACAAACAAACAACAACAAAAAAAAACCCCACACAACCAAAAGAAGGCTTTCGGAAAAGCAGAAGGCGGCCAGAAGGCCCCTGCAGGTCTCTGGGATTCCCAACCCATGGGCAATACATCTGAAAATCTGAGGGCTCCAGCTGCTCAGTCCACAGGTCTGAGCTCAAAAAAAAGTCCTGGAGCACAGCAAGCATTTTGACCAATAACCAGCCCCCAGGCTCACCTGGCAACTCACTACTGAGATCCGGGTTCCCAAGAGAACAGAAATCTCACCAACAACCAAATTTACCACCTATGTTAGTGCCTCTGTAGAGACATTGTTGATAATAAAACCAAATTCTTATTCATACTAACACAAACAAATAATGAATCACACCACTAAGAGGGAATGACTTTTTGGTGAAAGACTGGGAGTGGGAAACAATAAAAAATATAAATTGATCCAGAGTTTTATCTAAAACATTGCAATTATTGCCACTGAAATTTCTTATTTGCTCACTAAAATCACAGTTCCACATGGTGATGTCAATCATTCCAGTGCTCACCCACCCTCTGAGGGTTAGACTGCAGCAAATAGAGGTTATGTGACTTGACAAAACCACACACAAGTCATGAGCAAAATCTCAAGGAAAACAAAGATGGGGCAAAGCAGTCAAAATCTCAATGCTTGGCTTGAAAGAAACTCACAGACTATGCTTAGGATGACTTGAACTTCTGAAAGCTACCATGGCTGAAAGGCTGAAGATGTTTTACAAGAGCACTTTGGCTGTGATTTATCCTTCTGAAACAACAATCTCCCACCTGTAAAAGGCCTCTCGAGAAGACTGACATTCTCTGTCAAGTCCCAAACTCTAGCAGGCCTTTTCCAAAGCTGTGGTTTGTAGCCATTTTTTAGCAGGTCTGAAGCATGCAATCAATACTGCGGAGAGTAAAAATCAGAATTGGCTTCTCTGCCATCATTAACTGCTAGACGGTTAATCACTTTCATTTCCATGAAAAAAGCAGCAGGAAGGAGGAAGTCCTACTGATGACAGGAGAATACCTCTGGGGACAGAGCCTCATGGCCTGAGAAGGCCTTGGTCCTTAAAAATTTACCTCAATTAACTGGGTTTTCACAGTAAGAGTTACGCAAAACCACTGACACATTGAGTATCTGTAGTTGCCAGCTGCACGTTGCATGCAAATCAGGAGACATGCAATTAAAAAGTACTGCTGTGACCTTATCCTGAGGCCTTCTCACACTGAAAATGTTCACCTTCAGCCTGTAGAAGTTCACTGCTAATGAAAACAGAACTGGATCATAAGGAAAACCCCATCTCTCTGCAAGCTTTCCCAGACTGAGCAAGGTCTCTTCTCATTTTTTCTTCCATTGCCCTGTGCTGCTAACACAACCCTGCTTCTCCTCTTTACAAATAAGTGTGCACAGTAACATGTCAAAGAACACTTATGAGATTGTAAAAATACTTAGCATGTTGGCAAGTGCAAAGGCAAATGCACATTCAGGTATTTAACAGTCAATCATGTCTGCAATTCAGACAGCAGCTCAGATCTCATAACTTAATTGCTTTAATTTCAGATTAATAGCTTGTGTTGTCACGAGCGGTTTGACATGCTGGAGAACAGTCACAAACTACACAAGGAGCAAACAATGAAGATTTATTCCTCTGCCCACCCACACACTTTGGGCGGCTCAAAATGACTGAGCTGACCTTTGCTGCTCTGTTTTCCATTTCAAAAATGCATGAGGAACAGCACAGGGCCCTATTAAAAACAGCAAAGCCAGAGAAATTTGTGGCAAGGTGGTGAACCTGGCATCTGATTTTGTAGTACAGCCAAGGCACAGGGTGAGGCAGAAACTATAAGGAATCATTAAATGCTCTTACCTGTCCTGCAAAAAGCCCACACATCCCAATAATACAGAGGATGTTGAATACAGCCGAGCCCACAATGGTTCCAACGCCTACGTCTCCTTTTGTGATAAAAACACCTGAAAAACAAGAAGCTGTGTAAATGGGAAAGAGCTGAATTTTTTCACATAAAATTGCAGACCTTACACCCTATTAATGAATCTAAAGGCAGGTACTAGGCAAACTGCAGAGAGCTGCTTTCTGAGGGGACCTGGATGGATTCTGTGATGGAAACCAAGCACCTCAGGCACATCCAAGTTACCAACTTCCTGGTATTGCGACCCAACATTATGGCAATACACACCACAAAACACTGCAAGCTCATGGTAGCAGCTGGTGTGACACAAATCTGCAGGAAACCATCTCCCATAAGATATTCCCTGAGCAGTACTCTGCTCCTTCCCATATACCCATCCCAACTGGCTTCAGTAGGGTTGAAGCTTCAGTAGAAGCTGGAGATGATTCAGAGCTGTCTGGCCACAGCTACTCACAAGCCAAGTGATGCCTCTCAGGATGAGTTATGGGGCTATGCTACAAGGTTTTTTCAGAGCTCTTCTGTCAAATTTGGTTAAAATTGGCCAATGAGGTTAATGGTGAGCGAGATGAACAGACACATGCATCACGGTGCCGCACAAAATCCTTTCCTTAGAAAGTAAGCCTAAAAATAACACTCCATCTCCTGCTAGCTGTCAGTCTGTTTAAATTCACCACTTGGTTTTAAGGTTCCAACACTATTTATCTGGCCATATGTAAACTGGCCAGTGCACTTTACGTACTTTTTCCAACTTCATCCTTTTCTCAGAAACACAGAAGCACTCACCTGTCAAGTGACACACGGCACCTGGTGGAAAATGATCCTGATGACCATCAGGGCTTCTCTAAGTCACCTGGAGGAACCTGGTTTTATTTTTACCCTGGTACTGCACCGCCTTTAACCAAAGAACAATGCCAACTTGGTCCAATCTACGTTCCCAAATGATCTACATTACAAATTTGCTTGTGTCATCAGACCTCTGCAGAGCACACAGCTTTGCATGAATTAACTCCTGCTCTGCATCTGGTAGCTGTGACTGAAGACAAGTGTCTCCTAGAGAAAGTATCTGAGCTGAGGACTAATTCTGTTCCGTGATGGAGAGCCCTCCATACCTTCCCAGCTGCTGCCCTGACGATTCCCCGCCAACAGAGATGCAGGTGAGTCAGACTGCAGGAACACTTCACCCTGGTAAGGTGGTTAGGCAGCATATCAGTCTGTAACACTGCCTGCAGTCCCCCTGCCCCACTGGTGTGAAGGCATCGAGAGTTTCCTGGGTTACGCACACTTAAGGATGGCTGAATATCCCTTCATCACACTTCCCATAAGCAGAGAGCTGCTTTGGAAATGTGATGCTCTGACCAACCTGTTGCTGTAAGAAAGCATTTCAAATCCTCTTCTCCTCCCTACTGTGGCTTTTCCAGGGAAAAGCGGTGTTGGAAGACTAACCAGAGGGGAGGTGATGGCAAAGAACTTGGCACTGAGGACATGAACAGTGTGCCAGGGTATCAGAGAGGGAAATCTGGGGGAAATCCTTTACCACTGTGCCCTGGAACTGACGTGGCAGATGGGGCAGGAAAGTAGACAGGAGAGGACAATGCCATAGGTGAAGCCTGGCTAATGGGCAGCTATGGTAAAGTGCCCACTGGACCTGGCTTGGCAGGGTCACATCCAGGCCCTGCTGTGAGATAATGGTACTCCCAGAGTCGCTTCACCTGGTGAGGACTCCCCACCGTCAGTGCCATGTGTGCCCAGAAGGGATTACAACAAAACTTGCAGGCATGCAGCAATCCCATTTCAGCTCTGAAAACAGCCAGGGAAATGTGCAGATTTTGGGAAGCAGCAGTAGGCTCCTTACCTATGACAGATGTGAACAGCTCGGGAGCAGAGCTTCCTGCTGCCATGAAAGTTGCCCCAGCCACATCTTCACTGAGATGCAAGCGCTGCAGAGAAACACAGTCACTGATTACCACACTGAGCAGCTGAAGGAATTCAACTCTCAATGTTAAACTGTCTGCTGAGAGTGGGTACCTGTAAAACTTTGTATAAACAAAGGTTATGTATAGGGGAAAAGCCACCACAGGCACTGGCTACTGAAGTGAGCATCACCTGACAGAGAGGGCAGGTTATGCTAGTGAAACTTTTAGAGAAGAGGGAAAGATCACCACTCCAGCCAACAGGGAAGGTAGCTTCACAACTCATGGGTCTGTCTGCTCCACAACCTCAGCAACATACACCTTATCTTTACCAGTTTCGCCTGTAAAGGGCAAGGCTAGGGCTCAGGCTTCATTCACCTCCAGCCACCTTCCCTGGTACAAGTTATGCCTTGCTTTACCCTCTCCTTACCCTCTTTCTCCTGGGTCATATCACTTACCTCAGTTTACCCTTGCCCTACCCCTTTTCTCCTGGACTACATCACTTACCTGTCCCTCAGCAGTATCCAGGGACTGTCTAAAACCAGGGGCTTCTGGAAGGGAAAGGACCCACTGTTCTATGAAAACTTCATCAGCATATGCTACTTCCAAAGATTTCCTTGGTTAATGACACCCTCTGTTGTCTGCACTCCCACTGTTCCATCTACACCAGTTCCCATGGACCCAGCACCCATCTACATCTGCTCAGCAGATGCCACAAGGCACCTTCCCCTGTTGAAGAGGAGCAATATCCAGCTCCTGCCATATGGCCACCAAGCTGTTACTACACCATAGCAAGAGCTGCTGCTGTGGGAGCACAGGAAAGGCAGCCAGGAGCATGGGGATGGCAGCTCAGGGTGGTGGGAAGTGTCCCTGGCAGAGCTGGCTTTTGAAGCAGCCCTCCAGCCTGGCAGGACACAGGAAACCTCCCTCTGTCTCCATTCCCCTGCAGCACTGCACTGCTTCTCTGCTGTTTCATCCTTGCCCAAGTACCTTTGCACAGAGACAAGAGAGCAGAAATCCTCATAAGCAGCCTTTTCTGAAGATTCCACAATGGGTATTCCTTGCCCTTAAGGGAGGGTAACTCTATCCACTGCCCATACAGACATAACAACCCTTTGTACATAAGTTATGGGGAACAAGGAAAAAGGACAGGATGTGCCCTCACCAGGAGTGCCTTTGAAGTGGAAGACCACAGCATTGCTGGAGTGCTATAAAGCTTGTGGAACCCAATAAAATACAGCTTTATGGAAAACGATTTTAAACAGGATTAAAACTATCATGAAAGAAGTTCACAGGACCACAAGCAGATCCCCAGAGGCCAGGTTCTTCTGCAGGATGCTCTGTGAAACTATGGAGACATCCATCCTACAATACCTGCTGGAACTCACGGTGCCTCTTGAAAGCAAAGCCACCAGCCAAGGAAACCAGCTGTGCTGACTTCTGGAAGGGGTGGTTTAATTCAAAGCTACAATGTGTGCCCTTGAGGACAGTTTCTAGAGAATTCACTGAAATGCACATGATGATTAAGCTGATACAACAGAGCAGAAAACAGCACTCTGTATAGACAGAAAAAACGTATTTGCAGAAAAATGTTTGCCACTGATACAGTGTAAACTACCAGGAGTGGGGCAGCCAGGCAAGTGCAAGCAGAAACTGCTTTAGAAAACAAAATAAAATTAGGGTTTTTTTGTAAGTAAGTCTGAACTAACACCGAAAGTGAAAATCTACCATAGCAAGTGTTCTGGAGCAAATTCCCATGTCAACACACATTTGGGAGCACAAACAGCTTGTTGGTTCAACTCAACAACTGCTTCCCAAACTAGATGAAGCTAAGCCAGAAAAAGGACATTTGTTTTAGAATTAGACTATCTAAACTCTGAGAAGATGTAGAACAACTACTGGCAGATCTTCAAGGCCAAAAAAGTCTTCGGGCGGGAGGCCTGAATCCTTGGTGTATAAAATACATAAGAATATTTTAATGTCTCCAAACATCATGGGGTGAGAAAAGACACTTCTGGGAGAGAATCAAGCAGGAGTAATAGCACAGTAAAAGTCTGATCTATTTATGTGACCCATTTTGATAATCCCTAATGCACAGCACCTTTTTCCTGGACAGCAACTTCTCAATACAAGTACTCCAGATCTGGTACTCAGTTGCTAAGCTTTCTGTTTTATACACAGTTGAGTAAAAATTGTTATTGTCATCTTATTGGTGGTGCTGGATAACAGAATGATTCAGAACCACTAAGGCACATGAGGAATTGTTGTGTACCATTGAGAAGACAACAAATAACAAAACAGCAGAGATCTAAACAAGTGAAAACTGCCTTCTAGGGCAGAGGGTGTGTAAATACTGCAGTAAATCACACAGAGAGGGTGTTTTCTTTTTAGACATCGGATGTCTGCACAAACCCAAGCATATCTGAGAATTTGTCAGAAGAACAAATGGCATTCTAGGGCTGGCACTTGCTAGACCAACTTCTGGAGAAGGCAAGACACACAAATCCTGCATGTGCAGAGAGTTAGTGATCATAAAAGAGCCCCTAGCTTGTGACAATGAAGTTTACCACCAGTGAAGTTGCAAACTGGTAACACCACACACAGTGTTTCCTACTGTCATTTGTAAACACAGTCAAGGATCAACTTTTCTACTGAGCAGTGCAGGAGACAGAGGCACAGGGAAGCGATGGAGCTTGTCCATGGTCAGTCAGAGCCCCTGGCAGAACTGCAACAGGAACCAGTGCTCCACAGACCCAGGTCAGGCCTCTGGGCCATGAGTGGGGCACAATTACTCATGGGCAGTAATTAACAAGTGCGCAGACGAGAAATAACAATCTCCCTCCATCTTGTGTCTCCCCGTGTCCATTAACAACACCCCAAAATGCAAGCCTGTCCTGGACACTGCTTACACAGCTCACGCTTTGTTCATCCACAGACACCTGAACTAGCTTCTAGAGCCACATTTCCCAGTGAGGTTCACTTGTCTGGGAGAGAGGAGGTCAAAGAACTCAGTGTGTCTACATTCCCCAGCATCTCCTACCCCCATGTCCACACCAATGTTCCCTCTCCTGAACCTTGCAATGGGGTTCTCCAGATTCAGCCCCAGAGGGTGCAGAAGCAACTTTGCAGGACAGAAGCTCCTGCCTTATGTTGTTACCTTTTAGTTACCTCTATATTTAAGCACCAAAAAGTGGAATTTCCTGAGGGCTTTCTTCCTTGATGATGCAAAAAATGTCCACACAGCAGGGTTCTGAATTTCAAATATGAGGTTAGTCTAGAGACAGCTTACATCAGTGCAGTCAGCACAAATGACTTGTCCTGTCAGCTTCCACACCTCTCCAGAACAGCCCACACCCTGACAGGTGACGTTTGTTCCCAGGCACATGAACAGGTGTCTTCTACAAATGACATGGACCTCTCATTGCCAAGACCAACTATATTCTCCACACACAAAGATTTCACTGCATGGAGCTGAACAGATACAGCTTGCAGTAATTTTGGGCACATGGTCTGTGTTCACTCTGTGACTGTCTGAGATATTTAGGTGAAAATGTGCCCCTTGTCTTCTAAAATTTAAGCATCCTGACCTTACCAAAGAGAAGCAGAACCTGTTGTAATTGCTGGAAGCATTCACAAGCTTCTTTACAGCTGACCTAGTTGTCCCTGCTGCTTTAAAACTTACACCCACACAATACAAGGTCTGACACTCATGACTGTGAGTACAGGGTACAAGATCCACAGTTTCTACTGGGGTAAATTACCAGAGGTTTTAATTTGTGTCACCTAAGGTTAGGGCCTGGTGTTTCTGCAGAGATACATAAACAAGAGGCAACAGCAACCACCACAGTGTGAATGCCTGGATCATGTCTGCAAGGAAGAATACAGAGTTGAGTCAATGCTCACACATCATGCTGAGCAACAAGACAAGCAGCACAGGCAACACTGCAGGACAACAATAAAATACACCATCACCACACCCCAAGGCTCTCCAGAACTGCTGTGAAAGCAGCACAAGAGGAAGGAACATCTAACACTTACTTCACAGATCTTTTCCAGTGAAGGGACGAAGAAGTCATCGCAGACAATTGCCAATGCATAGAACATGTACATAGCCTGCAATAGAGAAGAGAAAAGGCTGAGTCTAGCGACTGCCACACAGAACTGAATGGCAGCATCCCAACACATCTCAGGTTTGATTTTGTACAGACTTTTCAAGAAAATAAAATGTTCTTGCAAGAAGAATTCATAGAGCTGTCTGGGATTTAATTAAAAAATTGTGGAGTATTTATCCAAAAGTTCTTATAAACTATCAAAAGCTGCCAACATTTTATCTTCACAATATAGGCTAGCTTTTTTTTTTTTTTTTTTTAATTCTCTGGACATTGCTAAACCACACTGAAGTATTTTTGCCTTCCTTTTTTCCCCATTGGGCAGTGCAAGGCTTTTTTATCACTGTGTTCTCTGAAAATCTAAACCCTGGAGGAGTAATTTTTGAAATCTAGAGTTCTGAAAAAAGGAAAAGGAGCTTGTTTTCCTGGACTGAAGTGCCCTGCCATGTCACCTGGGTCCCACTGGTAAATCTTGCTGAACTTCCCATAGGAACAAATAAAACCAAGGAGGAACGCAGGGCTCTAAATGACACTGAGCCAATCAGTTCTTCAATTTCATGCAAGAAGTATTTAATCTGGGTTTCTGTACTAGTAAACAGAATGTGCTGGGGCCTGATCTCTGCCCCAAGACGCAAATGGCACAGTGTGGCTCACATCCACGCAGCAAAGCTATGAAGGGCAACCTGGCCCATCCTGCCCACAGGGAAGGAGCTCACTCCCCACCTTGACACAAAAGACTGCCACTGGATGGGAAAATGCCCATTGGCATAGGGGAAAACCAGGGAAAAGCATGCCAGGCACCAGCAGAGCACAACCCCCCAGCCAGGCTGAGTCTGCCTCCAAGCCCACTCTGGTTTTCTGGCATGGACATATCCAAGACTTGCTGTAAAGTTCAAAGACAGCTCCACCTTTTTGGTAACACCTACCAAGCACCAGCACAGTTACTTCTAGAAGCAGTACAGCTCCAGTGACTAACTACAGCTGAGAGAGGTGGCCAATATTTGTAGAAAAACAGTGTATTAATCCTAGGGAACCACAGTTCCAAGCACATCGCCAACAGATCCTCTGGCTTTGCTTGTTGTTGAAGCCCTGCAGAAGCTCAGGCAATGCAAGGAGATCAGAATATTCTTTTCTGGAGAGAAAGCAGCAATAAAAATGGCCTCCAGGTTTTTTTGTTCTTGTTTTGATTTTCCCAGAACAGGTTTAAATCCCCAGCCCCACCAAAAACACAGATTCTAATTTGCCAGAATTAAAACTTTGCTGCAAAAACACCAGTAATTACTGTGTATCTCAGCCATGGAAACTTTTCAAGCTCAAAAATAATTCAAGTGTATTTTTTTCAGGATTAGAGATGGGAATTTCATAATAAGAAATTATTTTGACAAAATCTTGACACAATAGATGCTAGAATGTCACTTGTATAGTTTCTGTGCATCTTTGTCCCTCATCATAAACACAGGTAAGTGTAACTTAGGCTTTTTGAAAATCTTGCTGCAAAACAGGCCCAAGGACCACAAAGGGCAAGCAAAATTCTAGGTCTCAAACTCTGCTGGGTGCAGCAAAGAACCTGATCTTGAAAAGGGAGCACCAGCTGCTGACACAATACCAACTGTATGAACAGAGATAAAGGAAGATAGAACATGGATCAGAAATGGCTCCAGGGAGCAATGTGCCCAAATTCCTTTGAAATACAATGGATAGTGGTGCCTAACTTCAGCCTAGATTTTTGATTTGCTACTCATATTAGTCTGCAGTGAGTCATGCCCTCGCTGTTCTGTCCAAACAGAGTAATACCTCTCAAGAAGGCTCATTTGTCCATCAGCACCATTCCCATAAAGTGAGTATGTCCTATCCATTTGACACAATCCATGCCCATGGAGCACAGGGCTCCACATGGCTGCTGGACTTCCTGCACTTCCAAGAGGCAGGCAAGGGAATGGGAGCCAAGGGAAGGTAGCCGCCACAGCAGCCCATGCTCCAGAGCCCAGGCAGCTCACCCCAGATGCCTCCACATGTAGCACACATGCACTGCACTGCTCTGTAGGTGTCCACAGATGATGCCAAGCTCCACAGGGCTCACCAGAGGCACCAGGGGCAAGGCACCCACCATTTTTTCAGTTTAGACAATTCCTTCTCTGGATTTTTATATGCACATTCAAATGATCCCAGGAGAGGGCTTGTGTCGCTTCCAGTGCATGCAAGACTGACAAAGCATCTCCACGTCCCAGCATTAAAGTGGAATCTCATGGTGCCCAGGATTTTGGAGGGCACAACAACAACCTTCAAAGGTGACAAGGGAATTTTCTTTTGTCTGACCATGCTTTCTCATTAGTAGGATCAGGTACAAAACGGAAAGCAAAAAAGGCACTGAAATGAGTAAGGAACAGAAAAGTAAATGTGAAGGAACTGTCCCCCCCAGGCTCTTGCTTATCCACCCCAGGAGTGGGGACTGGCCCGCTGCTGCAGAAGCTGGAAACTTCAAGCCAAATCTGCTGCACTCCTCAGGATGAGCACTAGCATCAGGCTGACAGCACTGACCAGGCTAAACCCATGTGACCTGTACGCTCCAGCATTCACTTTAATGACCTCATTTCTGTCACAAATCTGTTTTGGCTATGAGTCTTCCCTAAGTTTATTCAAGTGGCTTGAGTGCAATAAAGTGTAAAGTGTCAGAATCAAAGGATTATCTGGCTAAACCCCAGCTTTGTTCAGAGACTAAATCACTGGAAGCTACCCACAGTCAGTGAACACATGAGGACAGTAACTGTTACTTCCTTGGAAGTTCTTCAGGCTTTTTGATGGGGCTTGTTTGTTTGTTTTTTAAACAAACAAAACAAAGCAATGTTTAGAGTTTCAGCCATCAGGAACACAAGCAGGAGGGGGCTTTTTTATGCAAGAGGTAGGAAGGCAGGAGCATCAGGGAGGCCAGTCTGCATGGCATGTACCATGAGGAGAGGGCCAACAGCACAGCTGAGACACCCAGCATGATGAGGTGGTATCATCTTCAAGCATTTCACTGAAGAGTCACATAGATTTTTCCTTCAGCACATGGCATCCTGTCTTCACAGGCACCATGGGTGCAGCGCTCTGGAAAGGAACACGGCAGCACGGACTGAAGGCTGTTCCACCTGAAATTCCCACTGGGAGTTAAGAAAGTGGTTGGGGAAAAGGAATATGGCCTCTGCAATGGCAGCAGAGTACAATGTGGAGGACTCAACACATAAATAAGGCTCAGCTCCAGCTTCACTCAGTTGTTTTAAGCTCCAAGTGATGATATGGGAATCTTTACCTAGGCAACACACTTTAAAAAACTCACTCACTCCTCCTCCCACAAAGGACATTAAAAAATTAGGAAAATTCAATGGCCCTGAATAAAAGGATTATAAATGTCAGATTAAATACCACATTAGGACTGATTTTAAAATTACTAATTCTAACAAAGATGCATTCTCTGCATCAAAGGTGATTAAGTTTCTTACTCAAAATACCTGTTCCACTGCACAGGACAGGAATGGTCATTTTTCATGCTTGTCCAGCAGTCCTTTGAGCTTCCCATGACTGTCTTCACACTCAAACTTATTCACAAGAGTGCATAATGCCATAGAAGCAACAATCCCTACAGCCCTGCCTTCTTCCCAGGGGGCTGTGAAAAGCTGAGGTTGTTGGTGGCAGTAACAGCAGGGGGGCCTGCTGCTGCCCCACAGACCCCTGCCCCAGGGGGGCAAGGGGCTACCCTGAAACCATGTTAAACAAGCTCAGGGCTTTTCTCAACTCTGACTGCATTACAAACCCACCTAAAATTCCACTGTTGGAGGGAAATTAAAAAACCCTAACCAAAGCAGGAAGCCACAGAGCCTGAGTTGACTCCAGCCAGCAGCTTGTGTACCATGATATGCCCAGCAGTGCTCCCACAGATGGCTAGGGCACTGGAGAAATCAACCCCCTAAGGAGACAGCCCTGCGCTGCAGAAATGAGATGTGTCTGGGTATTGACCTGATGCAGAAATAGATAGAGACAGGACCCATCCAGGGTGACCTACATTTCCCAAAGGCCTCGCAGGAGGCAGGCAGGTGCCTGTTAGAGCCCCCATTCCCATGGCTATGGGAAGCTATAAGTGGCAAGTAGAAGGCATGGCTTATCACAAACACTGCTCCTCCACCCTGCTCAGTATTGAGGGCCCAGCTCTGCCCAGACAGACTCAGCTCTGACCATGCATGGGCTCCTCATGCTGGCAACCCTGGTATCAATACCATATCCTGGTATTCCACTCCAGATCTGCTGGAGAAGGCTGGGAAAAGAAGAAACAACACTGTGCTGTCAAAAACACCGGGTGATACACAGACTCAAATCCCCCATTCTCACCTGCTAGCCAAAACCTTGGGAATTGCTCAGCAAAGCCATTTCCCTCCTGTCTTGTGGGGTAACTGGTGCCAATGCCCCTGAGCAGGGCAGGGCTGAAGATATGCATGGGATGTCAGCTGGAAAAAAATGAAAACTAGGAAAAGGCTAAGAGAGCAACTACACAGCCTTTCCAGTACCCAAAGGGACTGCAGGAGAGCTGGAGAAGGACTTTTACAAGGGTTTGGAGTGACAAGAAGGAATGGCTTCATGCTGACAGAGGGCAGGGTAGATTGGGTATTAGGAAGAAATTCTTTCCTGTGGGAGTGCTGAGGCCCTGGCACAGGTTGCCCAGAGAAGCTGTGGCTGCCCCTGGATGCCTGGAAGTGTCCAAGGCCAGGCTGGATGAAGCTTAGAGTAACCTGGGATAGTGGAAGGTTACTCCAAGGTTCAACTCCCCATAGCCAGGGAGTTGAAACTGGATAATGCGTAAGGTTCCTTCCAATCCAACCTATGATTCTGCAAACAATAATGTTAAGATTGCAAAAAGAAGCCCTTGGGTGCTGGGGAGCTCCCAGGCTGCAGAAACAGCACCAGACTTAAAATCCAGACCCCAGCCCCTCCAAACTAAACATCCCAAAACAGTGACTTAGTGGGTAGTTAGTCAGCAGCTCAGCCTCTTCTCAGAGGGGACATGGAAATAATTAATGTCAGTGAAGCAGTCAGCTGCTGAGCTCTGAAAAAGTATCCAGGAGAAATTAAACACCATGACTCCTCCCTGTAATATGCCTTCAGTGACCCACTTCTCCTTCAAAGAAGTATGGTGTTTTCAGTTCAGACCTAAAACTATTGCTGACCTGCCCAGTTTTTCCTAGATTTTTCTAGTGTTTAGGGATTAACTTTCATCTTTGTGAAACATCAGATCATGTTTAGTAATTCACAGAGCCCCACTGTGAAGATCCGATGGGGTCTTTTTTCCCTTTTTATTAAACAATACGGAGAAGATGCCCTGGGAAACCTCTTCCTCTTCTCCAAGGTCCTAGTGATAGCTTTTGGCCTGTTCCTCTGGCTTCTGGTAAACCATCTTCATCTTGATGTCTTTCAGAATTAAACTTGAAAGTATGGGCAAATGGGGAGAGAACAGAGAATAACGTTTTTACTTAAATGAATAGAAACTGTTTAAGGGGAGGTTACTAACATGAGAAGCACGGTGATGACCTCTAATCATCGCTGCATTTTTCTCCCTACCATTATAGAGCCCCTTTTACAGTCCGGTTTCCTCAAACCCATTAAGAAAACTCAGAAGAGGCAAAAAACTCTGTGTCTGAATCCTCTTTCCCCCAGAAAAGTGCACTTCTACTTCTGCTCTGATTTCATCATCCGTTTACATTTCTGGGAGGTAAAAAAAAGGACTGAAGGTTCATTACCCCAGTACAAAGAGCACCCCTTCCAACTCAGACTAGAGGCAGCTTGCTAAATGCTAACAGCTTTCTGTTTTCTCTGAGTATCATTTTTTCTTTGACAAGGGGTTGTCTCCAGCTATCCCAGTACTAGAGAGGCTGAATTCCAGCTAAATCCTGCACCTCAGGAACCACAAGACAAAGAGTGGTCAGTAAATTTCCTAAGTCCACAAAACTGCTATAGAGAGCAATGGAGCACCCATGGAACAATGAAACAAAGGAGCTACCTTGCTGTTTGCTAGCAGGAAAGAAACTGATTACATTTCTGCTGGGACAGTGGATGCTTTTCTACTTCTATTAAAAATAGATTTTTCTTTTTATTCTGAACTAGGCAGTTCAGTCTGTACCTTTGTTTTGGTACATGTTAAAGGCACATTCAGCTCATTCAGAACTGAATTAATATATTAATTTTTAGGAGTATTCTTGTCAGTGATATAAAATCCAGCTCGGGTTCAGTGCTCAGTCTCCAAAACAGTTCAAAGCTCAATGTTCCCATGGAAACTTGAGATTCTTGAACTTGCCAGGCACAGACAATAGCAACATTACTCAACAAACTTCTGCAGCTACTTACCCAAAATAAAAGTCTTACACAGAGGGCTCACATTGCAATACACAATACAATCTAATTTATACTCAAAAAGAAATCATGAATCACTTCTCACAGCTAATGGTGACTGCTCATTTAAGCTGACTAAAAATTGTTAAAAGCTTCTAAACATTCATTAGCAGCAGGTATTTTCTTGGCTGCTTAAGAATGCCTCTAACATAACTCATAGAGCTGATAAAGCAAACTTTCCAATCCACATAATGCCATGGCTATTTCTATATCAATTATTCTATTTCATTTTCCTGGGGTGCTGTTATGATGCTTGTATCCCCAGTTGTGTGTTCTGTTTATGCTGGATATTATATTCAGTGCCTTCAAGAGAACGAAGGCGGGGAGAAGAAGAAGTATGGAGTTATCAGCCTGCACTCACTCCTCCACAGTCTGCTGGAACACAGAACTCCACTGTGTTATCTGGGCATGGACGGGGCAGAACAGAGCACTCCTTTGCTTTTTAGTTAGTTTAGCTAGCTGAGGCAGAGTTTTCCCTGGACTGTTTTTTTGCTTTCACTTTTCTTGGAACCGTTTGAAACTGCTCCGGACCAGGACCCAGGGAGCACTGAGCATTTGCACTTTGTGACCTACTCTGGACAGCAGCCTTTCCCAGTGCCAGAAGGACTGATATGATAACAGAGTGACCAGCCACAGGAGAGACTTTCTGAATTTGTTGTCTCTTCAGAGGAGCAAATTAGTTTTGTCGTCTGCTATTGGTCATTTTTTGTGCTGGGAAGTGCTTTGCCTGTTTAAATAAACAGGGTTTTTTTCCATTTCTCTCTGAATAAATTTTTCCCAAACCAGTTAGGGGGAGGGGCCATGTGGGTTGGCTTTCTGGGGGGCCCCTTTTGGAGGTTTTCTCCCAGATTTGCTCTAAACCAGTTCATAAACTTCAGAGTGTTCCAGAGTTGCTTCTTGCAGAATTCTTGAATCTTTTAGCTCTCTGACATTTAGTTTTCATCTTAAAGATGCCAAACTATCCCATTTTCAGAGAAAACTTTCTTTTTCCTATGGCCTGACATTCTAATGGTGTCTACAGAAAAAATGAAAACAGGAAGCAAGTTTAAACCATCCTTCGACTCCTTTCTATCAGAAGATCCCAAGAACAAAAAAAAAAAATCACATCCCTGACTTCACAGTCCATACAGGAGATGAAAATGAACTGAAGATAAAGTAACTTCAATCAGAGCTCTTGAGCACACCAGGCCCTGTCCATGCCAGTAGGAGAAGAAAGGCAAAGTCACGACACTTACACAGAGGATGTGCAGGACGACAGCTCCATGTCTCCTGTCCTCATTCGTGAAGATGTCATTGGGGAATTCATGGAGAGCTGCAAAAAGTGGGGAGGGGAGAAAGAAAGCTCAGATGTTTAATCAGCTCCTCACACCCACCTCACGTGCTGTTCAGTAACACAGCGAGAGGCTGCCCAACCCAACCTTGCAGCCACCTGCCAGAGGCTCTGCCTCACCTCCCTTGTCCTCAGGTACCACCTTTCCTAAAAGTTTACTGTGCCATTTCCTTCTGTGTCCAGCACCACCCTGTGACCCACACGTGCCCAAGCGGGGACAGACACCCCCCTAGGGCACAGCATAGCTCCTTCCTTGAGGGAAGCAGTCAAAGGTGTCCAGAGAAGGTGCAGTATCTCCTGGAGGAGTTGGCAGCTCTCTTCCCACTGTCCAACAATCCACAGAACCATCGAGAGGAGCACATCACGCACTTTACAGCCTTTGCTGCAAATGCACTGTTGCTAGTCACTGAAAGACATATTCCCTCCATTTTCTCAAATGTCTTATTTCTGCTCTGGATGTTAATTGGATTATAAAGCTCTTAAGAACAGCCTGCCAATTGGCTTTGGGTTATAAATCAAAAAGCCAGTGTGAAGACAATGCTCTAGCACTCAAGTGCTCCTCAGTAATTCCAGATTTTGAAACAACAGCTTTCTTGTAATGGTCAGTTCTTCACATTCAGCCATCAGCTGGAAAAAATCAAACTGCCTTTCACATCTTTAGCATTAATAAAGCTCTAGCAATAGGGACTTAATTAGCAATTGCACAGAAGATTAAAGAGAAAAACAGTCCGGCTCACTCTCCTGGTTTTGCTGCCTCTGAAGCAATAACTGAGCAAAAGGCAACTGCATTTTAATTTTGTTCCTCATGCAAGCAACAGCTCTACCCAGGCACTGCATCAATGGGGGAAACCACTCTTTTTTACATACAGTCTTTTACCCAAAGGCTCAGGTTATTACTGTTAATTGTATTCCTGTGAATTGGTAAATTCCATAAGGAGTCCTAAAAAACTAGCAGGAGCTACTGGAGCAGTACAGACAGCATCTTTAAAATATCCATAATGGAGGAACACAGCAATACCCTTCTCTTTTATGAGAACCAGTGATGTCTGTGACTTCTTATCATCAGTCAGAACTCACCCACCAGGAGTTGTGACTATTTCCAGGAGCTGTGACTACTTCCAGAAGCTGTGATTGCTTCCTTCTGAGGTAGAACTAGTCCTGCCAGGCTGCCTTCCCCTCCCACCTCAGCATATCTGCTGTGTTAGAGATGCCAAAGGCTGCCAGAAACACCTTAGGTGTACAGCCTAAGGAAGTAGTCAGGGAGGTACCAGCACAAGGACAGGAGTGAGGAAAACTCCAAAAAGTACATTACAAAATGTAATGAACAAAAGAGCCTTCCTGGTTCCCATGGCAATACTAGGACACTGCTGGCTCTCGCTAAGTACTGATATTGAAATGTTAATTAGCTAATTGCTCTGTTTGTTTTCTCTAAACTACCTGGAGATCACCTGCTCCCCCCCCCCATGCCCCTCCCCACCCACACAGCCATTCTAGGACTACGATGCAAATAGGGGAACTCTTGGAACCATGGGAGCGTTGTTTTGGGGGATAAGACACCCCTAAATGGAAAAATAAACACAGTAGAGGGGGCTGGACAGGTGCCCGGGCTGAGGAAGAGGAAAACACATCCCCTGACTGACGTTTGACCTGTCACCATAACCTGCAGAAGACCAGACTCGAGTGGGCTGTGAAAAGCAGGAATAAAGAGGCAGATTTTTCTGGTAGTACCACGAGGAAAGGAGAGGGACAACTGCTGCTCGGGACTCCAGCGACAGACTCAGCCTCTTCCTCCTTCAGCTACTTGGAAGAGGCTACAAGAGCAGTGGTGAGCTCTGTGTCAGGCTCCCTGCCCAGCTGATCTTTTTAATTAATGAAGGCATAAGCCCTGTTCATTTCACAATACATTATGGAAGCTGAGAGTGGAAAGGATTAATCTTTCCTCAGCAAAACATCATTATGTGAAAATCCAATGTTTCCTTCAAAGCTTTAAGAAACATGCCTGACCATTCCCCATTCCACAATCAAAGGAAACATGGGGAAGTCTGCCTGCAACAGTATGCAAAATGGTTTACTAATATACGTGTGTGTGCTTCCCCTCCTCCTGCAGCTGCCTCTGAGATTTTACATTCATTACAGACAGATGATAAAAATACAATCCCTTTATCAAGAGTCTCTGGGAGGTTCAAGGAGCCTGAAGCGCACCTAAGGTAAAGCCACATGGGGAAAAAATAGTACAAAAATAGCATAAGTTGTCTCTAGTGTCAGCAGCTGGGAATCCTGGCCCTACTTCCTGAGCACAGCAGAAATGCCCAGTGCTCCCTCAGGTTCAGGTTCCCACCCCACATTGGCAGGAAATATACCTGCTTTTCAGAGAAAATCCAAGATGTCCATCAGCACATCCTCCACAACATCGTCTGAACACAAACACATTTAGTGGGTTACATTGGAAACATGCAATTATAAACTAATGTATGTAAATTTGATATCTGCTGCATTTTTATTAGCTGCATCAGGTGCAGATGAGGATAGATAAGAAGAAAGCTTTGCAAAACACATGAGCTCCTTTCTAAGAAGAAATAAAGTGTGCTGCTGGAACAACACTCCAACAACAGCTGCCCTATTTAGCGAATTATAAAAGCTCAGACAGTTTGTTATTTCGGTAAGAGTCTCCAGCCTTTGTCAGAAAATAGGTGCACATTTTGCCAGGTTTATTTTGATTGCACAGAAAGAATAAAAGACTTCTGCCTAATAATCCACTCTGGTCCTGCAGACTTGGCAGGTATCAGCCTGGAGCAGCAGAAGGGCAGGATCTTCACAGAGCTTAGCACCTCCCCAGTTACCTCCTGCATTGTGGGCATTAGGCACATTTCCAGGAGCAGCCCAGCCCCCAGTGCATTCTCAGGGGGTTCCAGCCCTTGGACACACACAACTCAGCCTCACTTTTCAGATCCTGAGGGTCACATTCCCAGAAAATTGAGGGCTGACGCCTGCAGCTCAACACAACACTCCTTCCAGGGGTGCAGTTCTACCTTGCACTGGGGCAACTTGTAGAACTATGAATGAATAGAAAGATTATTCACATTCGGAAGTAACTGGAATTAGATGGCCATTAGGAAGGTATGGATTGGCCTTGGAAAGGGACCTAAATATTACAGGAACAAATGAGCATTATGTGTAAGAAGCTGTGCTCTTTTGCACTTGACTCTAGGTGTTCTGACAAGCAGTGGCTGCTGTGCAGCACCGGGAGCCCACACCTTTTGGAGATACCATCAAAAGGGTATGGCCAGATTCAGAGGAAAAGTCTGGATTGACACACAAGATAAAATTATTTTAGTCATAATACATGAGCTGGAATTCATTCTTGTCCTGTTCTTCCCAATTAGTGTGCAATTCTGTAAAATTTGAACCCTGTTCTGCCCTGGCCATAGGTGACTTACAAAAAGGTTCTGCATTGGCTGGCACAACACAGACCTGTCTCTGCTCAGCCCAGGTGTGCACGAAGGTGCTGCTGTACCACTCCTCAGGGGGTGGCACTTTTCACAACGCTCTTCCCAGCTCCTCCTTTCCCTCTCACATTTTAATGTTCCCACCTTTCCAAAATGATTACTTTTCAAAAATTCCAGCACTGTGCTGAATCAATAGTTCTAAATGCTGTGACATCCAGTTATTTTTTAAAGCCTTTATATTGCTAGCCAGTGTATGTACTCTGGGGACAAGAAAACCCTTGGGAAAATCTCCCATGACTTTAAGAGATGAAAGATGTTCAGCCTGGCCAATGAGTTACCAGCACAGAAAACTCACAAATTTACCTTGGTTCATTTTCTCATGCTGTCCCCACAATTCTTTCTCTGCAAATTCTGTGTTGTCACCTATGAGGGACAGATATTAGTGGAGCAGACCTTGTGATGTAAACCCAGATAACGTCTTTTGCATCCATGCTGATAGCTTCTTACACAGGGAAGCAAAAGTAAACTTTAAAGCAATTCGTTACCTTTCTCCCCGCACACTTAGAATCATTGTTTTAAACTCGAGCTTGAGATTGCTGCTGGATTCAGGGTAAACAACAATATCACATTCAGCACCTGCCTGCAGACTGTTTCACCCAGCTCCCTGACCTCCAGCAGCTCCCCTGAACAGCACCAGCTCTGCCTCCCAGCTGTCTGTCCCTCAAAGGGAGAAGGGACCAACCAGGGTGAACCTGCAAGTGCAGGAGGTGAGAGGGCTCAGAAACTGCTGGATCTGTACAGCATCAGAGTTCAGACTGCCTGGAGACCGGCTCAGGCACACACAGCCCACCACACCCTGCTCCCAGGGGGAACTACATTAAATCACATGGCACAGGCAAGGGACTGTGAAAATCTTTAGCTGCCTTTAAAATCAGTGAGATCAGTCTAATTATCTCTGAAGGGAAGGCATATATATACCTTTACATATATATATATATATACCTTTATATTTATGTGTATATATATATATATATACATATATATATATATACACACCTTTATATATATACATATATATATATACCTTTATACATATATATTACTGTCTACTAAGTGAAAATGGTGTTTGCATTGCAGTGGTATGAGCTAAAATGCAAAGAGAGCCAAACCATGGTGATACATCAATAAAAAACATTTTGCTAATGTTTCACTCCTGTCTCAACTGCTGCAAACCAGCAGCTGAAGCAGTGTGGGGCACAAAACCCACTGTAAATCATGCAGCATGTCCAGAGGCACCATCCCACACCTTGCACTGGCTTTTCCAGGCTCTGTGCCTGGCCCCTGGGAGCAGCACCTGGGGGTACAATCATCCAACAGAGGTGGCAGCAAGAAGCAAAGTGGTGGGAGCACCCCTGCTGAAGATACTGATGCTGGCCAGGTACCTGTTCACAGGTGCCTCTTGGTGGGATGAGCCAGACAGAGTAGGTGTGGTGTGAATAGAATGGGAGAGGTCTGCGTTTCTATTGAGTAAGTTAT